AATTAATGTTCACGGTTTTAGTGCGTGCACTCTAATAATAATAATAATAATAATAATGATAATAATGATAATAATAATAATAATTTTTAATGATTAATAATTTTTAGTTTTTTACATATATATATTTATATAAATAATAATTTTTATTTATCTATATATAAATTTATATCATTGTCAATAATGAATCTTAAATTTGACTTCGAAATATGGCAAAAGAGAAATTAATTACATTTTCTTCATAGAGAAACACTAGACAAAAAAAAGTTTAATCGCACGATGAAATAATTTGTTTCCGATTACAAAACAATATACTAATTCTAAATCAATCGGAAGAAGGTGGTTAGTTTCGGTGCTATAATTATCATTAATGATCGCTGACGTCTTTCCTTACTTAGTGCCATTTAGTCTCTGTACGGTATATAAATATCAGATAAATGTTACTTAAGCTAAGTAAACAATCCTCGTAATCGTCAGATAAGACCACGATAAACCCTTCTACTCGCCCTTCAATCTAGAGCGTCTTCTGTCTCGCTTTTCCTTTCCTTGCTTAATTGCACGACTACTATAAACATATTTTTAGCATATTTTTAAAGGCTTAAAAAAAAACTCCAGCAAAGATATCAAAGATATTAACCTGGCATTTTACGTTAAGAGGTCCAAAGATTGATCCCTGTGGCATTCCATTTTTCGCTCTTGAAAAGCAGAAGTATTTTTGACAGACTTGAGCACTTATTCTAAGTAGGCCTAATAAAACTATAAACAATTCTTCAGTGGCCTTAAAATGTACGCTGTGGAATTCCAAACATTATTTTTCATTTTTGAGAAGCAGGCATGAGTTTTCCAGTGGTCCTAATCTTAAACCCTATGGCACTCCAGTTTTTAATTTTACCCTTGGAAAAACTAAACTTGTTATTTATCAGTGGTCCTATATTTAACCCCTGTGGCACTCCAGTTGTTATATTTACCTTGTGTGGGGAAAATAGACACTGATAAAAAACGATTTCCATTGTGACAAAAAAATAAGCACATCAGTTTTCTGTCTCGAATAAACATGTTCGTTGTCATATTATGGTGTCTAGAAAAAAAAATTTCCTACCATAGTCGATAACAAGTCTAAAAAGGCAGATTTAAAAAAATATTTTGAGCCAAACATCGCCAGCATTAGTGATGATAATACTATTTTTCTATTCTGCTTTTTGAACTTAATTTTTAACGTTGTCCGGCATTTTTCTTTTAATTGTGCTGAGTGCAAATGATGACAAATTTAATGATGTGTGTGATAGTGACAACCGCGATTGTTTTTTCTTTGAGCCAAGCTAGAACAGGAATTCTTTTAACTTCTCCTTAAACCAAAAAACAAAAAAACTAGGTTGGTTTTATCAATTGTTTTTTACCAACTGAGCTAACAAATAATTATGCTCCCATATGACGCTTTTGAAGTGGAAGATCTTCAGCAAATGGCAAGCACTTAAGATGTTTTTCCTTCGATGAATGCCTTAGAAAACTTATCAATTAGCAAAGAATTGATGTTAAATGGCGGATGTTTGAAGTGCCGCACATTCGTTTTCTAGTACTTAAGAAAAACTTTAGAGAGCTGAGTAGTCTGTGATGCTAAAGACGTGCGAAAAACTGTTGATAGATAGAACATTTTCTTAAGGTTAGCGCGACAAATTAGACTTTTTTGTCTGGAAAAGGTAGGACTGAAGATACAAATCACTTCATTGTCACTGATTATGGACACGAAAACGTGAATATTATATTTTGATATTTGTTGTCAAGGTTAATCAATAATGAAGGTCTCTAAATATTTTGAAAACGAATCAAAACCATGATTGTTTAATGATCTGTTAATTATAAAATAATTGGGATACTACGCGCGCTATGATTGGTCGAAAACCATGTTTGATGAGAGTATCAAAACACGCTATCGTCATTTTTAATCTATCGCGCGCGCTCATTGGTCAGTTTGAATAAGACGGCACGTAGGGAGAATTTACTTAGACTTTGCTTTTTTTCGATCTTTTCGCGCGTTTGTTATTTTATAAAACAAATCAAAAACAGGTTTCCGCTACGCGTCGTGGTTTCCTACGCTCCTCTCGTGTTCTCCCAACATCCCGCGTGTTTTGATCAGAGTATCAAACACGGAAAACTGTTTTTGATCTGTTAAATAAATAGATAAAGATATAAGAATGCTTTCCATTCTACTACAGGTGATACAAACATACCTAACGGCAACGAAAAGTTAATATAACTGAGTGAAAAGTAGTGAAAAATAGAACATCAAAATGATTGATAGTATTGATACTATAATAATAATAATAACGATATATAACAACGGGCATCGCACCGGCATCGCGGATGTCATGGGTTCGATTCCCGGTGAAGCTTGAAATCATTTTTTCAAGTCTTTCTTTACAGCGTTCGCTTAGATCGCTCATTCACTGTGATGATCAACACATCTATCGATCTATTTTAAAGTATACGATTTTTAAAATATATATATACAGATAAGAGATAAAAGCGTGCTCTTGGCACTAAAGTAAAGAGGGATTAACGCCATATAAATTTAAATATTATTAACATTAGTCGATATGATTAGTGAAAAACAGATATACAACATCTGCAGTCCAAAGCATTGATTAAAGTTCGAACTAGTAATTTTTTTCTAATTTTCAAACCCTCAAACTGAGACAAAATATAAAAATAATTACTTGATGCATCTGTTATCCTTTGAATATCATTTCCAGAACCAAAATTTTACATTTAGTTTTGACCACCTGGTGTTTCAAATTGAAATCAAAAATTACTGATCAACTGATGATTTTCATTTAACCCAGACCTATTAAAAACTTAATCAGTCTTCTGAAAAGATGAAAGATAAGAAACCATTTAATTAATGTCATTTTTTCTTCAAAATAGATTAACCAAAAATTTTACAGATTCTATAGCATATCAAGTAGTTGAAAACACCATAGACTTGGCTCTATTCGTGGAGTCTGTAAGTGTGCAATTCCCTTATCATTATAATCATAATCACCCTCACCCTCACCCTCACCCTCACTTTCATCCTCACCCTCACTTTCATCCTCACCCTCACTTTCATCCTCATCCTCATCCTCATCCTCAGCCTCAGCCTCATCCTCATCCTCATCCTCATCAACCTCTATTTAAAACAAATCTATCTAAAACAAAAAGCTTTATTGTTCAATCTCTGCCTTCTTTATTCTTTTATGCCCGAAAAAAAATCAAAGATAATGGAAAAATGTCCCGAGAACAAAGAGCTAGAAAACAACCAATAATAATAATAAGACAATAATAGCCTCGTTTGTTAGTCAAATGTATATTGAGACAATCTGTCTATCCTCGTGGCTATTATATACACGTTTTCCTAGTACACGAACCAATATTTAGTAAAATGCCTAAACGCAAAACGTTTAAATTATATTGATAGAATAATTATAATATTTTAATTAGAAATAATAGCAAACACAAAAAATCGGATATATTAGAAAAATGGAGTTATTTTGAATAATTCAAAAAAAAATCGTATGTAAGATCTGAAGTAGTGCATCGATTTTGACAGGTTCTTGATTGATCGATGAGCAGGTATATTTCATAGCACATTCATTTTTTTTTTCTATAAAAGATCGTGGCCTAGATTATGTACTAATGTCAATACCTTGGATGGCTCTTTCCCACCAATTCCCAGCACTTTTCTGCACTTAAAACGGCTCTGTGCATCATCAAAGCTTCTCCTGTGAATAAAGATAATAAGATTAATAACGTCGATTAAACCCCAACTGCGTTCTAGTTTAGAAAATAGAAAGAAATCAAAAACCAATCTTGATAAAAACGAAGATAACCTTACCCCCAGGTGATAAAGCGAAAATATTAATTAATAGATAAAGCAGTAGACACAATTTCTAAATTACTGAGACCGAATCGCTGGAAGACTTTTGGAAATAAAAATATTGCTCTACCGCCAAACGATTCTTTCTTTTCCCCTTCCCCCCYTTTTCCATTACCATGCGGGAAAAAAATGCGAATAAAGCACTGTTCTATATTAAAAAGGAGAATTCCGAACGTCAAAACGAAACAAAAAGGCATCTGCTGAGAATAGACCAAAATAACTTACGACAAAAGAGGATTCCAATCAATCTTCCTCGCGGAAACAAATTCTTCAGTAACAGAAATGTATTGTGATTTTGGTGCCAAGCTGACTAAGATAGTATCCTAAGAGACTTGAAACCTTTGTTGTCGTTTTTTTCAGTACGAAAAAGACATTTTTGGAACATTAACAGGCGTTCCACACAGTTCATCTTTGGGTCCACCAGAATTCATATGGATATATTTTAAAATACATTTTCAAAAACAACTTGTAATATTTATCGTGTTTCGACCGTAGAAGCAGACAAAAGTTTATTTAATCGAATGAATAAATATTATTACGATATTTTTGTTGTTGTCGTTGTGGATTGGAGGTAGTTGTTTTGTTGATTTAGTAAATAATAGCTTTGAGAACGAGTTGATCAGTTATCTCGTTGCTAATCTAACCAAAAGTGTGTCAATGAGAAGACAATTGAAAGCCTTACAGATTGAATAACTGTCTTAAGAAAAAACAAGATTATATGTGCCATTCATAAATCGATATATATATATATATATATAACATCGAACTGAACCATTAAATATATATAAATAATTAATTCTGTTCGATGTTTTGACAGCTTCGACGTCAATGACACCTTCAACACAAGATTTCCACTCTTCCGTAGCTTTTCGTGACGATAAAATTCAGCAATTTAGGATATTTGTTTTCAAACAAAACCAAAAGATTTGCAAAGCTTTTGAGGTGATGATACACCACCCGCGCGAAAGTAAAACTAAAAGTCTCCTACATGAAATTAATAAAGCGAAAATAGCTAGTATTCGTTATTTTTCATTCCCAAAGACAAGGAATTAGGTGTGTGCTTCGCCAGGTCCATGAATTAACTTGCAGTAAAGCGTGAAACTTTGCTCAAAAAGCAATCGCCATCATGAATATAATTAGACGAAATGTTAACTTGATTTATATGATCGTCTGTATGTTACACAGAATATTTGATCCCGCAAATAACTTGCAAGTAATAAATGCTTATTGTTTCACTCAATTGATCGAAATACTGAGTAGAATTATCTTCATACATAGATGTGTACTCTCCAGTTTACTCCATAATTTGCTCAAATATCACGAATCTTATTTGTGATTCAAAGCGAACTAATCTCCTGAATATATCAACTCGAGAAGCTCACAACCCCCAAGCACATCTGCTTTCGATACATCCTGGGCTGCGAACAACTATATTTCGTATATATAGTCACTAGACAAATTCGTAGACGGTTTATAATATATATATAAACTAAGACAACTATTTGTACGTAGAATTGATACTAGTATTATAAATAAGATTTCGATTTACCGGGTTTACTAATAAGACATAATTTTGCTAGTGAACGAAAATTATAAGCCCAAACTTGTCAACTTACTTGTCTGTATTGAGAAGGGTCGATTTTCTGTTTTCTTGAGACATGTTCGCAAACACGCTAAATCCAATTTAAATTGACGACGAACAATTGTCGGTCGATGGCTGGATATTTTGGCTATTCATTCAACGTTTAAAATGTTGACAGAAWCATTTCACATAGCCGTGAAGTAGAGCGACTAAGACCGTACGAAAGCGAAGCAACGTTCATTGGAGACTACTGCTGTCAAAAATGGAAATGATTTCTTTGTTCCTAGCTGTCAATCTTCCAAACAATCAACACTTCTAATACTATTCGCTGTTTCACTAGATTTGAATTCAAACAATCTTTTCCGCTCGCGAACTTTCTTTGAACAGAGGTCAAACCAGATTGTATTTTCGTTTGCTTTCGAACAAAAAGAATCTTGAAAGATGATCCCTTGCACGATCTAGGATGTCAACGAACCACGACGAATGATAATCCGATCAAACTCCTTTCATGAGTAGAAATAACAGCTCAAGTTAAACTTAGAGAAAACTGTAAAACGATCTTCTACACAAGTCTAACGATCGGCCTTTGCCAAATAAATTCTAAAGGCAAATTCTGGCATGAAACGTGCGTTCAAATGTGTGTTGCGAGAATTGAATGAAAAATATATTCACCATGAAACTAGCGAAAGTGGAATTGACACCAGTTTGGAAGTCGATTTGATGATTGGACTGAGACCACAAAAATTTAAACATTCAAGACATTGATATAAATTATAGACTAGGCAATAATATTTCAAGCTGGCCCAAACCTAACAACGAGTTTTGTTTGAATATTTTATGGGGTCTTTTAAGCGAACGGTTACCGTCGCCATTAGTAATTCGATATCTTTCAATTTTCACCTTGTTTTGTGCACAGCTTCGCTCGAGAGAGACACCAGAGATTTTGCAGGCTCGTTTTTGCCGAATATAGGAAACAAAATGGTTTTCTTCAAGTCTCAGTATTTCAAGACAGTAAGATATATATGGCTTGACAGTAACATTAATATTTGTTTTCACAGTGGAACTTCCATTCAAACCAGGGATTAAAGTGAGTTTAGAATACAACCCTAGGTTATCTGACTTCCAAAGTTTGACGTAGACAAACCGAACGATAATCCATCTCTAGCACCACCAAAGATTGGTTATGATAAATTCCAGCCTAGCAGTTCAAAAGAGCAAAAGAAAAAGAAAAAAAAAATAGCAAGACACCATTGACTTACTTTAATACTCGCAGCATGTCGGAAAACGTGCCGATGAAGATCTTCAGTTTTGCAGGCGACAATCGATGGATTTTTTCCCGTGTGTTTTAGACAAAAAATTAGCAATCGGCTATTTGCGACCCTGTGTTTACTCTTTCGTTTCCCGAGCATAAAAAAGGTTTAGTTGCCGATTATGAATATTATTCACAAACACAACTAAACGACTCGATTCTGTCTACTGTCTGTGAGCTCATTCAGTTCTGTACGAAAACAGCATTCAATATAACGTAAAAAACCTACAACTTTTGATTACTCTAGTTCAAATTTTAACCAGAGGTTCTTGGGAGGTTTCTCTTCTTGGTGCTCGGTTCTGAAATTAATTTTTGCTCTTAGAGCATTAAGAAATCAGATTCCCCCCCAACCTATTATATTGACGGCGCAAAAACAGGTGAAATCGAACTGATTGAAGGAACCCGGATGTTTGGATGATTCCCCATAATCCATAGCAAGCCGCGCTATTATATGCACTATCATTAACAGAATAATCGATCTATGTAGATTCCTTGATGAAGTCAGTTTTTGTAGGGTACTACGACGCCAGATATATATGAGATATTCAGCACTTTAACAACTAACACAAACAACGAGGTAGTACACACACGACAAGTCAAGAACGGACAGTCGAGCGAATAAACGGTCGTTAAAGTAAAGACCAGACAACTGAATGAACACGCGCACGCTCCAACTAGCGAATGGATGGACGGAGGGTATGAATGAATGGAAAGACAACTAGATGGAAGAACGGGCAAATAGACAGCGCAGTCGCAGTTCGGGATGGGAAATGGGGACTTCTTCCGTGAGCCGTGAGCCTTCAATGACTAATGGATGGACAAACAAACCGGCGAACGATCTGATGAACGGACGAACGGACAACTAAAAAGCGACCAAAAAGAAGAACCGATATGGCGTACAAATGGACGAACGGATGGACAAACAGACAGAATAATGGCATTGGATTTTCTATCTTTACGGCCTGCAGCGACAGGTCTAAGAATAATTACTCATGTCCTCTTTCTGTTAAAGTGAAATCCAGACATCACATATACATTAATGACGTCAATTACCTCTTGTAACTGGTCTTTGACTTAGCATAAGTATCAGTTGGGTCAGGTTTCTAACGTAAAGGCGGCGGGAAAAGGCCAAGATAAAATCATAAGATGATACGTAATGGACAGCGTAGTCAAGGTAGCGATTGTAGTACTTAAGTACGATACAATACAAAGAAGAAACACTTTCCTGGGATATTTTTTTGAGGGACCGACAATCTCGCGACAATCAATCGCAGGAAAAAAAAAAAAAACGTAGTTAGAATACCTCTGAAAAGCTTTCAACCATCAAAAACGAAGTAGTTCAAGCTACGCCGAATCTAAACGGGGTAATGCACTGCCTCAGGGGACCCCACACGGGTTAGAAAATGCTATATTACTGCACTGGTAGGACGCCTAGACACGGGTTTGTTATTCAAGGGGGTCAAGAAAGTACTTCTGATGAACAATGTTATAAATACGTATACTGTTAACTATATCAAATAATCCTATCTAGACCAGAAATAATGGTAATCACATCCATCCATCCATCCATCCATCCATGCCGATACGATTGTTTCTTTACACAACCGAGGTACAAAGTATCCTTACCCCTACCCCGTGGAGCCAGCCTTACACTACCCTAGACAGTCTGACAAGTTAATCAATTGGCAACTATCAAATGATTAATTTCTATTGACGATCGAAACAAAGCTTGGTTGAAGGCTTATTAGCTCAGAGTAGTTTTTTCCCCTCACATTCATTTCACAACTCAAGAAACAGTTAAATGTTGATCTTTTCTCGACACTATCACTGGATTATTTACGAAGTCAAACCGTGCATAACAAGAGCAGTTAAAGCTAAGAAAACTTTAGTAACTCAAATGGAATTTTGCTGAAAGAGAATTTCGTTTGCTCTAATTGCGGCTTTTGTGTGAAATTGCCGCCTCTGAGATTGATTGAAAAAAAATTTTTCTTCTTCAATTATTCACATAAATAAAACCTTTTCTTATCAGATGATATTTTCGATATTAAGTCCGTTAAAAGCAAAAGCACGAATATGGTTTTTCTCTTGATACGATGATAAATCTGGGAATTTAAATGCATTATAGATAGAAGAGAAATTTCTATTTCAAATTGATAATGTGACAATAGCTACTTCTGTCTTGGAAGAAAAACACGACCATGTTCAGATCGTAACAGAAAAAGCTCTAAAATATAGGATCAAGCCAGAGAAAAAAGCCTAAAGTTAATCCTGTTTGAATAGATTAGGATATCGACTGAACACAGTAATATACCCGAGGTTGTCGCATTCATTAAGCTAGCATAAGCTTTTTCTATGTTGTTTGACATCAAAAATATTCCAATTGTTTGACATTTACTCAAAATGAATTCATTTCAGAAATCACTCGCTTCAAATTCATCAGGCAAATCGAATGATAAATAATATATTCAATCAAGAAAAGAAGATGTCGAATTTTGCGGATCATATTTAAGTTTGAAGCGACATTAAGTTAGATATTTTTGGCGTAAATTTGACAAGACTAAAAGGTGCACTTTTCTGCCTAGGAACAGTGTACAACGTAATTTGTTTGTTATGCTAATACACACAAAAAGTATTTCTTTTTTATTACCTTGTAGAAGAATCCTGTGGCATTGCTATTTCACTCATGTTGCTGAATCAGGTCGACTCGCTCCTGACTGGAACAATTCTAGATTATCAACTCGACAACCAACCGACTCGTTTTCCCCCGGTCACGTTCACATACACTGTAGACTTCAACGTCTTTCCAATAATCAATAACTTGAAAGTCAAAAGCCTTTGAATCCTTCAAGGACTGCTGGGACGATTGAAAAGTCTCCCGGTCGGGAATTCGGTCGAGTTTCTCTTGAAGAGATTGGAGATGTGGCTTTGAAACAATCTGTAAGCGATATTCCAAACGCGCGAGTTTGAATGACAATGGAAGTATACTAAAAACTCGAGTGACTATCAATCTTTGGTAAAAACATGCATTGATCATAAAGCGATTGTGATGTTATATTATTAAATCGTTTTCAATTTTCTCCCTTCCAGGTTTACTTGCCTTTTCAACCACTCAACGTCCTTGGACTTTCCTTAAAGTGTTTGTTTTATCTTCCCAAGAATCCTGCGTAGTTTATACGCATCTATATATATTCGGGTTTTTTCAAAATGGCAATATCAGTTGAGTTTAGAGTCTGGCCTTAAAACTATTGAACCTAAGGTTCTTGAAATCGAGCGCTATGATTGGTTAGGATCTTGATATGGTGAGTTTTGATTGGCTGTGCATTTAAATGTATTTCGTTTATGTCAAGATTGGACTTTTCTTTTAGTGAACCATCAAGTAGAAAGGCTGTCTCAATATAAGACACAGATTGCCAGAACACCGCGAGGAGACTGGATGGGTTTACATCTATGCTTTCAAGTCGAACTCCAAACCCAAATAAAACAAACGGAATTCTCATTTAAGGAGATCCACAAACGCACATCGACCGCAAAAACGCACAAACATACCGGTGATTTCAAACTTTCCGCATAAACAGATTAACGGAAAGTGCCTTATGATCTATTCTTGTGATCTTATACCTTAAGATGTCATTAAAAGTTCATCGACAGAGCACGCCTTCAAGGCAATCGCTTTTTCTTCAAGAAAAAAGCATTACAACCATTTTTCTCTCTATCTTGTGCTAGTTATACCCGGTTTTTTCCTGCGGGGATTTCCAGTTTGTTTCAATGTTACTTTGAGAAAATCTTATAACGAACGAATTAGTTTATTTTCTGGGTTAATTTGCTAAGAGAGCGTTGTTTCTTTTTGCGGGGTAAAGACTGCCCAAGGGTCGAATATTCTGGAGTATTCTTCTTTCGTTGGCTTAATAAATGTTGACTACATTTTGAGCTGCGTGCTGTCCAGCACTTTATTCAGTGCTTCAGTGAATCATAAATCTTAGAGACCGCTTTTTTCAATAACTCGAAGCAAAGGAAGCCCAAATGTTAAAAAATGGTATTTTTAAACCCATTCAAACGTTGGTTATATATATCCTTGCTTTTTGATTGGTGGAAGTTGGAAGATATTTGAGAGCTTTTGCAAACTAATGAAATTTGATGAAAGTTTTCAACAAACCCGAGAAATTTTTAAAACGCCAATCAGAACGAATAGTTTCTCGCCTGGTTTAAGAGTTTTTATTTGTTTGAAGATTTCGGGGGAAAAAATTGGCGGAAAGCAAGGATGCTTGAATTGAAAATATTTTGAAAGTTCATTGGGTGGTTTTTTGGTTTGGACATCAACATGTCTGTCATAGAGGAATCCCTAGAGCAGGTCGGAAGGAACGGAGGATACATATGAGCATTCACTCTACCGTATCCTCTAGGGTGGATTCACATAAACAACAGAAGTGCAGTTGAAAATGTCGTTGACGGATGATTGACACAAGGTGGTTCTTTTGAACAATTCTATACGAATCCGTTCTTCGCATGCGCACTTAGATTATATACCAGAAATACATAAATTCTGCGTCGTTGAGCCAAATGGGAAAAAAATGAAAAATGAGTCAATAATCCTAATTGGTTAGCCCACACCACGTCATCTACTTGTTTAATTAGAGGGAAATTGTTTGACCTCAGGCTATTATCGCACCTAAAGTATAAACTAGAAGCATGACCTGCGATTTCTCACACAAAAAAATCATATATTCTTGCGTGCCCAGATTTTCTCCTCAAACCTAATCGAGGATCTCGGCATGAGGATGAACACGAAATATCTCTCCTAGAGCCTGCATACATTTTGGTACCCGGCAAAGTGATCAAGTTTCAAGTCATGTCTGAATAATCACTCAAAAGTACCTTCACATTCCTGCTCAAGGTAAGATAATGCGTGAGCCTGGGTACGAGGCTGTTGTCATGGTTACCTTCTAATAGTCGTATCCATAGTACTAGAGGGTGTGCTCAATCGTAGTAAGCTTTCCACTGCCGTGTCATCTTTAGATCCCATGCCATCCGCAAATTAGAAAACCGCGCGTAGACGACCAGGACTGGAAACTACTGAATTGGAAACTGAAAAAATAATGAAGCAAAAATTTAAAAATAGTCGGAATAACAGATTTGATAAGATTTTTTTTGATATGAGATTTATCGTACTCTTTAACGCGCGTGCGCGCGCGTTTTGGCGGGAATGGTAGTTTTCGTCAAATCATGCAGGAACCCCAATATAGTCGCACATGGCTTTTCTTTTATTCACATATGACGGAATAAATAAATTACTCTCTCTCTTTCTCTCTCTCTCTCTTTCTCTCTCTCTCTCTCTCTCTCTCTCTCTCTCTCTTTTTGCTTTAAAATCAATAAAACAAATTTTTAAGAAGACCACCTCCATAAATCTCTGTGTTTTTTTAGGAAACAAAAAATATCTTGCATGGTATCAAGTATTGCAATTAGACGATGCTTTAGCTACAATTTGTGAGGTATTCCACATTAATTGAATCAGAAACACCGAAATTGTTGAATTAATGAATGAATTTGTGTTGGTAAGCCAAAGCTGTTAATTGAAATAATATACGCTACGCCGAGCTTACCATATAAGACATTCATTACAAAATATTCACAAGTAAACTATAAAAGGTAGAAAGCGAAAAAAATACATGGAAAAATTCACTCCATTGAATGCGAAGGTTATATATAGAGGTTATTGGTCTATACACGGCATTATATATTACTGACTCACAAAAAACAAAAAAAAAAAAAAGAAAGAAAAGAAAAGTAAATGGTTCGATCGTTTCTATAATTTACAATAAAATGCTATTAGTTCACCTGATAACTCTTATATTGAGGAAAAGTTAGGGGTAAGTGCTAATGTAAGTCGATAAGAGGAGAAGAGAGGAGAGGAGAGGAGACTAAAAAAAAAAAAAAAGAGAAAAGAAAGCAAATTATGCGAGTGACATAACATGAGGGTTAAGGTTAGTTTGAGCAGTATTTTGTAACTATCCAGGAAGCCTAATAACTTGCGGAGTTACCCTTAATAAATTTAATATAGGAAAAAAATTAATTATAGTTCGTGTCAAATAGTAATAGCTATACCGAAAAAATGCACGAGTTGTGCAAATTTTTTTAGTTTGTCTAATACAATTACAGTAATAAACTGTTTCGATTTGCAAAATCAAAATTCAAAGACGTAAAATACACTGTCTGCAGCAATTTATCATAGCTTTATTCGTATTATTATATCTTTCGTATAAAAAAACTATCATTCTTATTCTGCCTCAACTAAACTTGAATAATATTTTTTCCTTTCTTAAGTTGTAAAGACTATCGATCTTACCTGAAAGTTCTCCGAGAAAAACTTTTGAACGTATAGTAGGAAAATGAATGATGCCAGGTAAGCTGCTTGCTTCAGTCCTGGACTATTACAGGTGTGAAGGAAAAAGTAAGATTCGGTTGTCAATTGAATTCTTAATTCAAAGTGTTTTCAGATTATGTCTCTCACAAGTCATAACTTTAATAAGAAAAAAATTTCCCTATAAGAAAAAGGCTCGGAAATATCAGAGTAAATATCTTTCTGCATTTGTCGTTTGTGTCAATATTTTTGATGGTCCTGAAAGCTTCCTTTATTCTGCTTCTTTCCTTTTGATGCAAATTTTAGAGAGGAAAACAATGAAAATAAAAGAATGAGTGTGAAAAAATAAAAATATATATAATGAGTCTAAAAAACTCGTTAAATTAATTAATAACACATGTAATTTATAACAAGGAAATGGCTCCTTTTTTAATGAGAAAACGGGGAAAAATTAATAGTTTTGGAATTCTGGGAGAAAAATGTCTTTGATTCTGAATGTTTTTCTCTTAAATTTAAAATCAAAAATTCTCTTAATRATTTTTTCCCCCATCGTTAAACGACAGGCGTGCAAATGTTGGTATTAAGATTTTTACGGTGATTATAAATATGTTGGGAATGATTTATATGCAATACACGATTTAGACTCATGTCGAAAATATAGTCCATTAAAACACCAGGCGAGCGGTAGAAAAATAACAAGTGGGCAGAGGGTTAATGTTGAATCTGTGAGTAAGCCATGCCCTGACTTCGATCAGCCCAGAGATTGTTTCAGGGTTGAATCTGTGAGTTATCCATTCCCTGACTTAKATCAGCCCAGGGCCGGGTTGTCCAAAGCTGGATTAGCGCTAATCCAGGATTAACTCTATAGGTCTTATTAAGAGTTAACCAAGGATTAGCTGACTAATCGGGCTTTGAACAACTGGGCCCAGAGGTTGTTTCAGGATTGAATCTGTGAGTTAGCCATGCCCTGACTTAGATCAGCCCAGAGGTTGTTTCAGGGTTGAATCTGTGAGTTAGCCGTGCCCTAACTTAGCCGTGCCCTGACTTAGATCAGCCCAGAGGTTGTTTCAGGGTTGGATCTGTGAGTTAAAAAACTTGATGTTTGGCTTTGTTTTAGCGCATGAGTTGGTCATATCCTAAGGACGAACACTGATCTCTTTTTGTAGTAAAGGCCATGATGGTATTTTGGCTCAGAAATGCGAAAGACTAGAATGTGCTATTATCAGCATTATATAAAAACTCGGTTAGAACTGGAGGGAAAAGATTGAAATATTTTTTAAAGTAAAGCCATTGATATAGGTTTACATGTGATGGGACTCTTTTTGATACCATTTAATACAGACATGCTATATTTGATACTGTAAAACCTTAATGATTAAATCGTTTGGATGTTTGGTGCTATTTGCTTCATGATACTATGAGATGGGAGAATTGTTGATAGACATGTACCGGTGGAAGACTAATGGACGATTTAATGAAGAAAAGAAAAGAACGAAGCGAAGGAACGAACGATTGAACGAAAGAATGAACGAATGAGAGAGAAAAGAATGAACGAATGAATGAATAAATTAATGAACGAACGAACAAATGAATAAATGAACGAACGCACTAATGAATGAGAGAAACAAAGAGAGAAAAGCGGAAGAGACGAGGACGGGTGCGGAGCAGTTCGATTGCTACATTTCTATAGCCACAAAGACATCTCAGATTTGACTTGTTGTGTTCTGCGTAAACATCAACTTCTTAACTTCAACCAACAAAAGAAACCACAGAAAAATGCGAAGCCTTTTCTTACTTCATTTATACTTCTCTCTTGATTATCAATGACAAATTCTAAACATACTAAAAAACAATTACTTTACCCACTGAAATACTCAATGATAAAGGAATTTTGGAACCGTTCGAGTGGCTTGTTTACAATAATGCCTAAATTCCGCAAGGAAGCTTCGCAATTATTATTCACACTATAGATGAAAAGCGTCTTGAATTCGGATTAATTGTTAAGATACAACAACACTCATTGAAAAATTACGATGTAATCTTGAATCAATCGGGAATAATTAAGCATATGAAATATAATGGTGTAGTAAGCTACTTCCTCATAGCGTTTCTTTTACAATTTACCCGCTACATATATATAGTAGTAACTGTTTTTCCATGCGAGCAGAGTCTTTTTTTCCTCTCCCTTGGGGGAGGAATTTAAGGCCGGATTTGACACTGACATTCAAGAGAATAAGAAGATCTTGAAGAAAGAAAGAAAAGGAAAAGGATAGACAAAAAGAAAGCTAAGAAAAGAAAAGAAAAAGATTGGGAAAATATAGTAAATATATCATAAAATTAGAGTCGCATCTCTGAAAAAAATAACCAGGTAAAGAACGTATAGTTGGTGATCATACCTGTAATCCTTGAACTCACAATTGTGTATAAATTTTTTCCAGTTAAGTATTACGTTTACAAGCTACTCTCTAGTAGACTCTTCCAGGAGGATTAGGAGCCCAGTTATACCTAACGATTCGCGCGTAGCAGCTGTTGTCACAGCGTCTTTGGCTCTTATTTTCGTTAGTAAAAACCGACCCTATTAGACCTAATTGTTTGAAGGATTATCACGCTGACTCGTTAACGTCTTGATCTGCACGAGAGCTTTGTATGAAGGCTGGCCGACCAAGAGAGGAGGATTGTTGAAGGAATAGGTTTTTCATTGAAACATGCACTGAGCCGTTTGTCCTTCCCACGTATTGCCTATATTAACATGATGGTAAAATCGCCTTTGGCTGTGTCTGCTCAACGCCGACACACAAGCGACCCACGGATCAATGTTTAAAAAAATGAACGATCTCACACAGATTATGGCCACAGTGTAGAATTGATAGGGAAATTAACGAAAAACCGCAGAAGATAAATATTCTAACTCGAATGCAACTATGGTAAGCCATTTAGTCGCGTTATATTATAACATATACATTGAGAGACAAATTTATAATTATTATGATTACACTAATATCTACACGGTCAAATGGACGTCATTATTTTGACAACCATCAGGCAGTGAAAATCTCCTTGCTGGAATCAATTGATGACGTCAACCGCATCCTTAGAAACGGTGAGACAGGTGTGTAAATATCTTAATAGATAACATTTTAACGTTATCTTTGAAGTACGTTCGTCTCAGGATTTTTTTTCCAGAACGTACTCGCGATTTTTTTAAAGCCTCAATAAGGCAAGTATATTTTGTTTGTTTTTGAAAATCAATGCAGACATGTATTTTAATTCACCTCGATATCTACAAACGTTCCACGCTGCTCCTGGTAACCTGGCCTGGGCCCAGTTGTTCAAAGCCCGATTAGTGCTTAATCCTTGGTTAACTCTTAATAAGACCTATAGAGTTAATCCTGGATTAGCGATAATCCAGCTGTGAACAACCCGGCCCTGCCTTGTATCTTGGTAACCAAGCTTGATTCAAAAGCTTGCAAGTCATAGTAACCAGGCCTGATTAAATAAAATTGTTTGCTTTGGAACCAGGCCTTTTAAAAGGTCTGTTATGTGAAACCACATCGAAACGCTTTGTTCTCTTCTCTTTCTTATCCGATTTATTCATTACCTCTGTATTTGATGACTAAAGACCTACAGATTCATTTTGGAAAGTTGAGCCTCGTTTATTAGTGAGCTATTCTATGGGATTTAAAGACTGATCTTGTTCAAGCTACACATTCTTTACAATACAGTTGACGTTTGAAATAATTTGCATGAGGCTAAACCTCTACAAATGAGTTTTTATTCAACGATATGAACCGAGCGGTAATTACCAAACAAGACGAAGAAGAGAAGCTATTTGGCTTGATAGTGTTAAATGCGTATGCGCATTTGATTATAAAGATTCTGTGTAAAGGCCGGTTTAGACGGTACGATTTTCGCCAACAACTATCGTATACAACACGCKCGCGCCATCCTACAACTCGAGTCGTAGCGTGTAAATCAAGCCTACAACTCGCCTACGGCAGACGCGAGCGTGTTGCATACRATAGTTGTAGGCGAAAATCGTACCGTCTGAAACCGGCCTTAAGAAACTATAGAAATTATTCAAAATTTCTCATTTCCTTGATAGGAAACTAATTTAGAATTCTTTGTAAACGAGACTTTTGTCGTCCTTCGTTATTCGTGAGCCTGTGATTCCATTGGTCAGCAAAAAGGAAAAAAGCATCGTCTAAATTTAAGGTATTTAAATCTTTAATCCAAATGTCAATAACAGCGGAAAACTATTAATTAACATAACTTTGTCTGTTTAATTAATAAGCAGGGCGTAATACCGCTAAACTATCCGTTGAAGGAAAACTGTCTTTATCACTTTGACAGTTTGGAAATATCCAAAGAAAAGATGTGGTGTTTGAACAATATAAACTTGACGTGTGACTCGGAGAGATGGTCAACAAATCGCCTTCAAGGTAAACACTAATTCCTGATTTTAAAAACCTTGAATTCAAGTTATGTTAGAAACGAATTGATGTGAATTTAGGATGAGAAAGACTATTATTTTTGACTGGTTTTCGCATAGTTTAGTTCGGGTCGAGGTAAATGACAAGTTCATTGATAGTACATAATGGAAATGCTAACTCCAAGCCTTAAGCTGTAGAAAAAAATATTTAGAAATTTTGCGTCAAAGTGAATGTTTTTGAATTCTGCAATTTATATGAAAGCAGAGCGTCCTTTATTTATCTCTGACTCTCTAGTCAGTATTCTGTGCTCTTTCTCTCTCTCTCTCTTTCTGTTTCTCTCTCTCTCTCTCTCTTTTCAAACACGAGTTGAAAACCGCTTGGTCTGTCCAAACAAAGTATTTTAAATTACTCGTACAAAGTGAAACTGAATGACAAGCCGTTTATTGGATGTGATATAATTCTTTCATCTGAGTGCTGTTTAGTCCGGACAATAAGTCGGTTCATGTTACGGTACTTTACTGCTACACCCCTGTTTTGAACCATATAGTCTAATAGATAGGAACAACGATTATACTCGACGTGTTTATATCTCGGCTGAGTTCACGTAATATCTATTTCAAAACGTCTCTGTTGACCTTTAGTTTTGTGACCTAAATCTTCAATTCCACTAAATTCTCTGAGAAGTTCCTTCTTCCGGCGCAACTCAAATGTACGACAAATCCAACTTGCAAAATAAATGAAAAGTTAGCAACTGCTAAATATCAAAATAATAAATTCCAATATTTTYTAGCATTTCGTATGACAGAGTGTGGGCTGTTGAAGTTTTGAATCGAAGTGAAAAGTTGATCATTAATGTACGGCGGTGCTCAAGACTAGTTCGCTCAAATATAACCAAGATTTTATTGTACTCGACATGACCACTGCATCTTATATTCTCTTGTGATTATTCGGATTCTTTACAAAGTTATAATAATTCGCGTTAATTTTTTTTCGTTAATAATTATATGGTTTTGTTTAATATTGCAAAATATTCCAAAGAGGTTTTTGATCAGTATATACCGTCCGACTGCCGAACAAAATGTCATTCTATACCAATTTGAAATCCATACATTTTGATGCTCACAAGAAGGAGGGTATCTGGTCAATCGTTATACATATCAAATACTTTCGTCCTTACCTCTGGTCCTAGATCCCAAGTTATATCCGAGTCGAGCAGGTATATTTTGAAGCTGTGCTCCAATCAACCCAAACCAACTCATTCACCTTATCACGTGACTTAACCTAACCATGACGTCGCAGTTGTCATGGATACGCTAATGGGGTATCGCCTTCTTTGTTTTAGGAATGAAACAACGAAGAAATCGAAGGGGAATTAATTAAGTCTTGACTCCAACTAATCTCATTGGATTGATAATCTGCAGTATTGACGTCACTATCGTCATGATAACGGGGAAATTATTCGAAGATCGTGCTTTTCTGAAGAAATTTATCGCAGGGGGGAAACGTGATAGCTTCAGCTTTGATGATGTGAATTCCAAGCCAATCTGTCTAGGTATGTTGAGTCATGTTATCGAGCTACTCCTCTTGGAAATGCTTCAGATTTATTCAAGCATTTAGAGTAAGGGGTTTAATGTAAAAATGGGCTCCCTGTGGTTTAATGTAAAAAAGGCCTTGCAGATTTTTGACTGATTCTTGAGAATATGAATGGTTGCTTGAATAAGGAAATTAATCTATAGACCCTTTGCATAAATGTACTGTAAATCATATGCAGATACATCCAAAGCCTCGCAATGGTGCAATGGAAACACAGTTCATTAAACACATCTTTTGTCTTCACGCACACAAGAGAGGCTTAGTACTTATTTGCGTTTTGTTAGTACATTTACACAATGTGTCAATAATTCAAACATGGATAGAGCAGTTTTCGTATGACTGTGAAAAGCTCAGTGCCGTAAGCGTGAGGTGACGTGACCATGATACTTTCTAGAATTTTAATTGGCTGATTTTTTTCACGCGCAATGTGATTGGTCTGGCGTTGCCGTGACCGTGTCCGCGACGTATTTATGACGTGTTCCGGGTATTTGATTGGATGGAGAGTAAATTCTCGTGCAATGTAATTGGTCTGGCGTATCCGTGGCCGTGAATTTTTCACAGTCATACGAAAACTGCACTAAAGGAGTAGACGTAACTCATTTGGTTAGTGCGCGGCCTTCGGAACTAGAGGTTCATGGTTTGATCCTCAGGATCTCCACGTCTGTTTCCACCTCTCTATATCCCCTCACAGCACGTCGGAATGCAGGTCAATTTGAAGGGCAAAACAATATGTCCCCAATTCTCAGGAGATTGAAATTCTTTTGATTTGTTCTCGAAATTGAGCTGCTTTGAAGTCACATGCAAGGGGTCTATTCAGTGTTGTTTCAGCTTGAATACTCTTAAAACAGAGCACTGATGGATAGAGGGGGTAAAGTGCGCACCGTTAGCTTCCTGGGATACTAGCCACGTAGCTGAAGAACTGACGACGTTGAATATAATTTCATTACCTTTACCTTTGATTGATGGGGGACTATTGATTGATTGATTACATTGCAAATTATTCATCCGTTCTATAGAGTTTCTCTTTCAAAACGGTCATTTTTGAATGAATATCCCAGTCAACGTAAGCCTCATGCACCCAGCGTGTGTCGCTCTCATTCACCTCGGGACTGGACGTAGCAAGGCTAATTGTGTAAAATCTAATGTCATACTTTATGAGTGATAAAACGTATTTAATTCTATTCGTCAAATTAGTGCGGTTTTCTTTTCACAGCACATCTTTTCCAAAACACTCTAGTTTTGACTCTCCTGATGTCTTCGCGCTATTAACATGTGTTAGCACAGATTGAGCAAAGGTATCTTTAAAGTTTGATGCTTGTGCTTTATCTGAAACCAATTTTTCTTTTCGATTAAAATTCTTTTTAAAAATAATGAAAAATTTAATTTAATTCATCTTCATAATAAGGCGACCCAAACAACCAGCTATGACTAGGGACGTCTTGGTTTTTGGCTTCCGTCAACCATATTTCCAACAACCTGTGATAGTATTTTTGATTGAAGGGAACTAGCCTGTGTTTGTCGCGCAATCATGATAATATGATGTAAGATATGTGAAATTGTGGTCTACACTTGCAACACAGCTCTTTGTACAAGCAGCATATGCATGCGCCATTGGCACGCCTTGTGTGTAAGACATTGAATCTGAATATCAAGATGTTCTTGTGTTGCAAATATTCAACCAGGTTTAGAGCAGAGTTTGTGCGACTGTTGAAAACTGCAGGATAAATTAAGCTCCAACAAGGTATTAACGAACCAATCGACGCTAGCTCGTCCAATCAAGATGCAAGGACGTGGTAACAGTCACGGTACTTAAGTCGTGCCGTCGTTCCAACAGTCACACGAACTCATCTCAGATGTGCTTGCTAATGCTACATATTAAAACCGATTAATAATTAGTCTTCTTAGTCCCCAGGGCAGTAAGTGCGGGTCCAACGCAGCACCAGTAACCTTAGGCACTAAGATTATACAGTCCATTCATCCTAAGTTGGGGAAAAACTGGGTCGGGTTAGTATTAACGTGCATTGTGAGACTGTTCTACGGGATCAAATAGACGCCAACTGAGAAATATGTCCCCTTAAACAGTCCCACAATGCACTGTAATGCCAGTTTTCCTTCAACTTTGGAATGCCTAATAAAATTTCAATCAGTTGTCATTTATTGATCTTTGGTGTATTGAGGCTAGGCAGATTCTCTTACTTCTTCTTCAAGCTGCAACAGAACAAGAAATGCTCTACACGTTAGTATAAGGGACTGTTCATTAATTATGCCTTGGGGGAGGGGGAGGGGGGGCTGGAGGAAAAGTAGGGGGGCTTTGAAAAAAAATCACACAAAGAAGTGGGGGCTTTAATAGTATTTGCTGACNTAATAGTATTTGCTGACTTAAAGGGGGGTTGAAACAAATAATTAAGGTATGTCTAAAAGGTCACAAGGAGGGGGGGGGGTCAAAAATTTTTTTTAGATAGAATTGGGGGGGATGTGAATTTTTCCAAGGTTTTCTTCGATTTTTCCTCCAGACCCCCCTGAGGCATAATTAATGAACAGTCCCTTACATATCGTGAAGATGTTACCAAATATACTGATTTTAGCCTGGGAGAAATGTTTTCTAATTTTAGGTCAAATGTCATTCTCTTGATAATAAGAATTTTTGTTTGAGTGGTATCTATATTAATGCGTCTTCAGTTCTTATTTAAACCCTGAAACAAACCTCTGGACTGAGCACGTCAGGGAACGGTTAACCACAAATCAAATTACAACTTAGCATGTATGGTTGTGCGTAAGGAAAAATATAAAAACGAACCTGGAGAAAAGCTTTCGCGTCAAAGGAGTGAACCCGTGACCTCGAAGGTGAGAGGGTGCGACTGCTCTACCACTAAACCACTTTTTACACCTTAACTAAAATATCGTATATATATTTCTCACCTGCGCCTTGGCGTACGGTTTTCACCACCACATAACAGTCTCGGCAAAATGCACCTCTTTTTCAGAGCTGGTTGATTCGGTGAAATGAAGGAGTATAACTAGAGAATTGAAAGAATTCATAATTAGAAAAATGTGTGAAAAAGACTCGTTTTTGTAGGAGTGAGATAAATATGGTTCTGACTAGCACCACCGCCATATTGGTGGACCGTTAACTTTCTCGTTAGCTTTTCTTGTTATGTACACCAACATGGCTGTCATGCCTCTATTCTTGGTTAGCATGTGACAACATCACCGCCATGTTGGTGTACCGTTAACCAAAGATTTCTTGTTAGCTTCTCTTGTTATGTACACCAACATGGCTGTCATGCCTCTATTCTTGGTTAGCATGTGACATCGTCATCGCCATGTTGGTGTACCGTCAACAAAATATTTCACTTTATCTTCTCTTGTTATGTACACCAGCATGGCTGCCATTCCTGAGCTACTTATCAACTTACCTGGTTTTCTTTCTCGTCGATTTTGATCTTCCTCTTACGACCACGTGTCAACACTCCGGTATATTCGTCCTCAGTCTCCTCATCATCCGAGCTCTCATCACTATCTGAATATTCGTACATTGAGCCAGCGGGTGTTCCAGAGTTGTCAATCATTGTTTGGCTGTTAGAATCTATCAGACCACTTGGAGTGGCTGGTTCGTAGCTTCTTTCACCCTCCTCTTCCTCATCATCGTAATCATCATCAGTTCCAATAAGATTACTACATTCATCAAATTCATTGTAACAAGCAGATTCTTCTGTGCCATAAGAGCCATCGTCTGTGACATCGTCTTCAGCAGAGGAAGTTACCGATGCATTGTGGTTCATGTCTATCCCCTGGCTTTCGGTCAAAGTCCATTGTTGTTTCCTGGCGTTTGGCTCTGGTAGCTTGTTGGTGTATCGTTTTGGAGTGTTGGTTTTTTTGACTTCATTTTGGATGGCTTTGGTTCTCATTTCTTTTCTCAGCGGGTAGAGACTGTCTTTGATGAACGATGCCGGGCTCAAACAATCGAAATCTGATTTCTATTTAAGAAAGAAAAAAGGAATGAATGATCAATTACTACCCTCACCGAACTCAGCCCACCCACACACCTTCCTTCCTTTCTCTCTAGTGACCATAATTTTACCTTGTTTTTCATTTCTTTGGGTGTTCTCAGAATCTTATTCTTCAGCAGGACAGYGCGCCGCAGTGGTGTTCCTGTTTTCTCAAAACTTCCGTCACCACGACTCACCCTTCTCAAAGACGCACGACAAATCTTTAATTTCCTGCAATAAACAAAGATTTCATCATCCAATCAAAACCTCAAACACTCACGTGATTATAGGATGGCAAAATTTCCTCGTCTCTCCTCCCCCAAGACATGCAAAGATGCGCGAAAAACTTTAGCTTTTCAAATATGAAATTATCCAATCTTAAAGCCTCTAAAATTTCCTTAAGTCACGTTATATCTGATACAACAATTTCCCCGTCCCCTCCCCCTGAAAACGCTGTCTTACCCAATGGCGTCCTTGATGGCATTGAACCAAGAGGAAGCTTCTAGTTTTGACTTGGAGTACACCAAAAGCGTCTTGTCTTGACACGATATCTGCGTGAGAACAAATCCTGTCTTCATAAATATTCTTTGATAGACAATTTACGAGATAGTGAACATGGTGCATTGTGGTCTAGCTCGGGTATCATTTGTTTATCGTGCTTTATATTGCGTTAATGGTACCCACGCTAGACCACAATTCATCCTGTTTCTCCAATATATAAATCTAAAGCATTTTCTAAATGGCTGACTCAAACATTTCGTTATGATTTTGTAAAATGTTTACGTCACCTTTACCACAGGTATCCCAATACACACCTTGAAGAGAGACCCAACGTCTGCTGCTCCATCAGTATCCAGTGAACTACCAAACATTTGCTCCACTTCACATTCATTTAACGGGAAGACACGCCGACAAGAGTACGTACTACAAATTGATCAAAGACACACACTTAATTGTGATTAAATTTCACTCTATTTAACTTTAGAAAAGTTACATTTTTGTTTGAATTTCGTAATGTTTTTGTGGTCAAACGGTCGTCTATTTTCCCCCCACAAGTTTCAACATTTCCATTCCCCATTAACATTTTCCTTCGTATTTTCTTGGACTTCTGTTGACATACAATTCGTAGTTATTTATGATTCTTTCAAGATCAATGGTTACTTGGAAATGTAACCAGTTATAAATAATGCTATGCAAATGGTCCCTACTCTCCCCTCCCCAAGCAAAAAATCAAATTTTCTAAGGTTGAAATGAAAAGACTTCCCTAGATAGCTTGGGTGTACCTCTAGCTGTAATGTTTTCCCGTTTCAGACCACATGTCTTACCCTGGAGTATGATTTCTTTGTTTAATGGTTGTTAATGAGAAGACRCATGGACATTGAACAACTCAAACAAAGAATCTAAATATCTAGGAAATGAAATGTGGTAGCCTGAAATGGGAAAACATTATGCCCAAGGTAGAGAGGTCTAAGAGTAGGGAGGTCTGTTGCTAATCACATGATAGGAATATTAGCTATAAGTATGATAATTTTAGACTAAGAATACATTAAGAGTTTGTGCACTGTGTTCTGAGATGACAATCAAAGCAGAAGTAATGCTAAAACATTTTTTATCCTGAATTTCTTCTTTTCTCTCATATTCTAATCTAAAATTATACTAATTAAAACAATTATTCCCCTCAGGCTCAGTGATTATGGTAAAATTAATATTCACCAATAATCACTTCACCTTCGGCAAATTATTATTATTAAATGTAAGTTTGCTTTCAAGTTTACCTTTGATCTCTGTCTGTTCCACTCTTTTTTGAATAGATGAGGATATCAGAGAAGAGAAAGAACATTCTCTCTTGTGAGCCACGCTTGCAAGCCTGCAACAAGCAAAGAAGTTTCAAGATTATATTAGGTATGAACCAGGTCCAAGTTACTCCCCCTACCCCCTCCCCCCCAGGGGAATAAAAGAGGTTGTTTTAGCTAGAGTTTGATCTCTGAGTTAGTCATTCCCTGACCCAAATGAGCCGAGGGGTCAGTGTTACTGTAAATTTGAAGAAGCAGAACAAGAGCTTTATTATGTATAACAGGATGACATCTGTGGGGGGAGGGGAAAGGACAGAAAATGCAACATTTAGCCCATTAATACCTTGAGTAATGGTCCTTCTTTGATGAAAAATCTTCCTGTAAAACCAAACACAAAAATAAATATAATTTTGGATTTTGGCATAATTTCACATCGTTGTATTTGCTTAAAGACCCTCCCAAAATTATCAAGATTCATAACTGAAGAGCTGAGGTGACTAATTTTTATCCTATTTCCTTATTAATTGCTATTTATAATTCAATAATAGACTATAATTAGATCTTATTATCTGAGCGGGAGGTCTATACGGGATAATCTTGACTGAGGTCTGTACAGACCGACCAAGCTTGGTTGATAAGAGTTTTATTATAGAACCACTTTTCATTGAAAAGGACAAAATGTTTTCACCGTAAGATTAATATGCGATAGGACCGGTTAATACCGGAGAATCTAGACCAGTCCGCGATGCGATCTATCCAATCAGATTGCTCGATTTGCTAGTGTCCAGGCTCTAAGATTCACGGTCATATAATAATTATTATTATTAAATACCTGGTGCTAGAATTTTTGGAGCGCCTTCTCCTGTCAGGCTCTTCTGTATCATAAGCATCTTTTGAAAGTTTTCATGTTGGCGAATATTTTCATTTATGTGTTCAGCAACTTTTGCAATCTCTTCTGTAGCCTCTGTAGTTAGGAAACATTATTTCTTGAGTTACAAATAATATATTAATTAAAATTTATGTGCTATAAATATGAATGAATAGGTGGATAGATGAAAAAAAATCCTCTGCTCACAGGGTAGTGGATAGATAGACAGATGGATGGATAGATGGATGTGATAAAGAATTTTTCATGTTGACCACCTTACCTTCAAGCTTGCTGAAATCTGGGTAGTCTCTTGGTGTTTTGTTCAACAAACTCTCAAGTAGCAGCTTATACCTAAAATAGATAAGAAAAAATATTACTTTAATTTTTTTCTTCATCAATCCTTCTTGAACTTTTATCACAAGTATGCCAAGGAAAATAATTCTTTTACCTTGGTACTCGTTGTACTGGTGTTATAAGCAACGCTCTTAGGTTCAGTCCCTTGCATTCCTGCATTGCTTCTTGCCTTGTTATGAATGACACAAAATCTTGGGATTTTTTCTCCCATTCCTGTGAGAAACATGAGAAACATTTTCATTGAGTAAGTAAACTGTAAACATATACAAAATAAAGTGACCAAGAGGTCCACTATGAGCTGAATAAACAAGAAATTTGCAAAGCTTAGGTAACATATTTATATTATGTTTTATAAAAATAAAATGAATTCCTTTTTTTAATGTTTTTTYCCCAAAAGGTTTGATTAAATGGTCCAAAGTACTTTTCCAGTATATATTATAGATATACCAGTTTCCAATTTGGCCCACTAGCTATAATCGCTCACTCAGGTTTTTGTTTGTGACAGTTTGCTTAGAAGGAGCATTTCACAGGAATTGTTCTTACGAAGAAGGAATTTCTAAACTAGTCAGTTTTTTGATGAACAAATGATCATGCAATACCTGCAACATGTTACTCGCACGCTCAAAGTTATTTGCATATGTGCTGTAAAGCTTGATGAAAGGTGCCATGGCCAGGAAAGCATCGCCAACACCCAGTGTTTCCATGTGGTTCAGCAATTCTTTGTTAATTGCTTCAATGCCTTCGATGTTGGAAAAGATTGTGTTCAGGACACTTTGTGGTACAATATTTGCATTTCTGAGTTCTCCAAGGAAGATCTGGAAAATATGTAGGAAGTTTACACACAGGGCTTCTTTATTGAAGTCCTCAATTTGGTTGGCACAGTTCTCTTAGGGAGTCATAATTTACGGGGTGAGGGATGGTTATGGGATTTTCGTATTTTGCATATAGGCTTTATATTCCCCATCGACAGGGGATGGCAGCTGTTCACAGGGAGGCAGGAATAATAAGAGTCTTTTCCACTGAAAAAAAAAAGGTGTTTTTCTACAAACCAGATTAGGTCAGATTAAATTGTTCCTGCTACCTGTCATGGCTGCCATCACATGATGGTGCAAAGCCTCTATAATATAAAATTCATAATGGAATTATGAAATCTCCCTTAGCGCATTGTACAATTTGCTGTCAATCAATCAATCAATCAATCAATTTTAATTATTAGTACCTTAATTACAATTGTAATTTGAAAATATGAGAATAAACAGATTTAAAGGTACAAGCTGTCTATAATAACTGTAGTAGCTAACCAAGATAGACAGCTGCTATTTGCATTAAGAATAGTAATATAAATTGGTTCTTATTTTACTGTCATGACAAAATTGGATTTCAGAAGATATCTTTCAAATAATTGCTAAATTCCATGACATTATTGTATTTACTATAGCCTGACTGTAACTCTGGTTAAAGTAGCAATGATAAGATTAACTATTAACTTCAACTTGCAGATCCCACAGCATGACCAAGCTAGCTTGCACTGGAATCCAAAGTGCAGTGAAATAATCTCCTACTTACAGTTGTCAGGGTGTGTAGCTGTTGCTGGTAAGTCTTTTCTGTGGTGAATATCTCATTAATAACCTTCTTGCGCTTCCTAGCCATTATTTGGGCTTGCAGTATGCCATTCATTTCCTTTGACAAGGCCTGTCCTGTCTGAGACACTTGCAAAGACAGGAACTTTTTGGCACTACGCACTGTATTGACAAAATGGTGATCAGTAATACACATGTACTCGTAATGAATTCAATACAGTCAACTCTTGTTACAGTGGACACCCTCGGGACCGTCACTTCATGTCCGTATTAGCGAGCGTCCGCAATAGCGAGTTTTTCTACGCTCATTTCTTTGTCAGTATTTTTGTCGGGGATTTTTCTCCTGTCCGTAATAGCAAGGTGTCTGTAATATTGGGGTGTCCGCAAGGCGAGAGTTCACTGTATTTAGTTTATATTTTGATTAGGCTTTTATCTTGTAAAGCACATTGAAACTGTTTTGGAATGCCCTTATTATTATTATTATAATTAGTATAATAATAATAATTATTATTGATATTATTATTAATATTAAGGAGTAATCAACTTTGCATGAGCATGTCTCTGTCCTCTGATATAAACATGGTATATGTAGCCAGCCAATCATTGCGTTTGTAATAATTAAATATTTTATAAATAGTCTGATATACATCTTTGGGCTCCCTGTGAATTTTGCATGACCAAAAAAGTAAGAGTTAGTTACCGAGAACGGAGGTAATAAGCCATATACATCCCGAGGGCCACAGGCCCGAGGGATGTATATGGCTTATTGCTGACGTTCGAGGTAACTAACTATTTTAGTTATCAATTAAGAAGGTTTTCTATAATATTCTGATGTTAGACTTTTAAGATAATGAAAATAAAAAGAATTTTAAAAAATATT